CCTTTTATTTTCTTAAAATAAAACAAAATCACATCTATAAGAAATTAAAAGTATGTCGAGTCAACAAAACTTTTGAATTCTCTCAACTTGGTATCGAAAAACACTGATCCATGTTTGGTACAAATTCTTTAAAATTCATTTTTAAACTCAAATTCTCTATAAAATAATCTTACACATGATTATAATTTTTTTCTACTTTTTAAACATACATCTTTTCCTTACTTTTTAAACACATTATTCAAAATATCACTTTTTACAAAATCTATTCTTAAAAAATCTACATCAAACAGGTCCTCGACCACAAATGACTAGCCAATTTTGCATATGTGCACGTTCTCCAGTAAACCTGAAAAAAATACTCCAAATACACATTATAGCCCCCACGAAATTATTACTGCCTAAAGTTATTGGTTATGAGCACAGCATGTTTTAAGTCGCAATTTTCATCTTTACTATTTGCTGCACTCATTCTTGCTCCAATTATTCTTACATAAAGTATATATTTACGTACTATCATTTATTACTGCTGGAGATGGCAACTGATCGGGTTTGGGGCACCCTGTCCCGCCACGCCACGCCACGCCACTCCACTCCCCTGCCTTAGCTCGGGTCGGGGCGGGGGTTGCCCTTTTTTTATTTATTATTATTATTTAATTTCCAATTAAAATACAAATTCAAAATTTCAAAATTAAAAGCAAATAATGTTCAAACTAACTACATCAATATCCAAAATAAGCATTCGAGGCAAAAAATGTCAAAAACAACTTTTTTTTTTTTTATTCTTCACGAGAAGGGTTATGCCCCGGCCCGATCCGGGACCCGAGACGGGGTGGCAAATCCCGCCCCGCCAACCCGTCGGGACGGGACAGAAAATCTAAATTTTAATCTAAGTCAAAGTCAATAATTAATTTTAATCACATGTATCTTGGGTCCTACAACTTTTTAACCTCACATTTCATCAACTTTTATCAAAATATACTAAAAACCTGATTTTAATACCCACCAAGCAAAGGCTAAATAAAGTATATATTTACGTCGTAACATTTATTTCTGCAAGGGGAGAGCTCCAGCAACTCATGTACGCAACCTGGCTGCAAAAACCCAAAAATAAACCCGAAAAGGGATTCAAGAACCCCCCAAATTTCATTCCTGACTTTCATTTACAAATCACTACATTAGATGGACGTCTCAATCCCAATGACAAAATCATTCAAATCTTTGTTTATCGTCACTTGGTCCTCTAATGTCCAATTGTATTGAAGCAAAAATTAGCTTCCCAAC